TTTTTTCCATGGCCTGGAAGAGCCGGACGCTCAGGGCCTTCTTGGTGCTCTTGCTGGCGTGGTAGATCTCCTTGCTGCTCCTTTCCAGAGGCTGGGGAGCCCCTCCCTGCGGCCCCCCAGAATCCTGGCCCTGCAGCTTCTCGTTCAAAAAGTCAAACACGTTTCGGGGTTTGGGGTTTTGCTGCCGGATCCGGGCCACGTTCTTGCCTTTTGCCCTCCGTTTCTGGGGTTTGGACAGATCCAGCTTCCCCTCTCTCTTCTTCTGCAAGATCTCCGCGCACTGATCCAGCGATTTCCCCTTGGGGAGCACAACAGCTAATACTGGTTCGATCCGACCCTCTGCGTTTTTGCCCAGGCCTGCAAGAGAAAGAGGAAGACAAGAAGAATCACAGCTGGAGCATCCGTGGGAGGGGAGGACCTCTGTCACGCCCCTGTCAGAGTCTGAATTCGAGGAGGACGACAAAAAGTTGATAGGGAGTGGGAGTGTGACTCCGTTGGCTGTGAAGGAAGCTGGGGAAGGGCTGGGCAGAGCAGGGGAGAGGTAGAACAAGGGAGAGGGAGTTCAGAGGTAGACCCAGGCTCACCCCCTCTTCATCCTAGGACATGCAGGGAGGAACGGAGAACGGAGCAACGTGGGTTGCATGGCTTACGGGGGAGGAAAGGGCCCTGATTCCCTTCATTAGCCACAACTGGGAATGAGTTTAAGAGAACTGAATGCTGACTGCGGCAGCTACTGGGAGCAAATGTAACTTTATCCAGTGTTGACCTTGCTTATCTGTGTTCCTGGCGTCTTCCCAACCAGGTTGAGTTACTGCCGTTCCGTCACATCTGGAATTCTTGTTCCTGCCCTGCCGAACTAATTACCTCAGTTTGACTTGATTGGATTTATAGTTTGTGTTGACCATGTTTTGGACTTAATTCTCTGCAGTCAAAGGCTGTTCCTGGGAGAGGTTTTCTCCAGCCAGAAGGTAACCTGGACATTGGGGGCAAAGTTGGAGCTAATAATACTGATTATCTGACTGTGTTGCCTTTGTGCCATGCCCCGGATCATCACAGCTTCCTTGCGGGTGTACACCTCATCTCCTCCCACCCACCTGATGCCCACTTACCTTTACCCAGCTCGTAACCCATCTGGGCCATAAGTTTGGAGCCTATGCCGCGCGTATGGGCTTCCCAGCTGCCGAAGGACGAAAGGCAGGCGGACGTCCCTTCCCCGTTCCCCGGAATGCTGCCGTCAATGACTGGAGACAGGAGGGAGAGCGAGAGAGAGAGATTAGAGGCAGAAAGTTTCTCCTTTCCCATCTTAAAATGGAAAAAGGAACAGTGGATTTCCAGGAACAAATTGTCCTCGATTTACAAGCATTTGTTGGTGATCCTTCAAAGTGACCACAGCACTGGAGAAAAAGGGACTTTATGTCCACTTCTGATCTTTGCTGCATTTCCACAAGGTCACAACTGGCAACCGGCTCATACTTACGATGGTTGCGGTGTCTTGGGCTCACATGATCCCCTTTTCTCACTGGGGGAGCCAGATTTACTTAACTGTGTTGCAAAGGGGGTTGGACTAGATGACCTACAAGGTCCCTTCCAAGCTCTATTTGGGATCCTGATTTCCTTAACAACTGGGGGCAAAACTCACTGAGCAACAGTCATGCTTCGCCATGGGGATTTGGGGCTTAATTGTGTCCCCGTAAGTCAAGTACTACCTGCACGGTGGCCAAAAGGGGATTTGGAGGGTACAAACAGCAGATGAGGTGTAAATTAAATGCAGGAACTACAGGGCGGCAGGAAAGTCAGAAAAGCAGGGAGGGAGCCCCGTTAGCTTTTACCTTTAGCGTAGGCAGAACGATCCAATTCATCGCCTTCAGACTCTGAGGAGGAGGAGGAGGAAGAGGTCTCCTCGCTACGGAGCGGAGGGATGATGCCGTCCCCTTCCACCACCGCTTCCTTCAGGAGCAGGGAGTCAAACTTCACAGTGTAGTAACCGCTGTCAAGGTCTGAGAAAGGAGAATGAAGAGGGTGAACGTTATTTACACCTCGCCTTAATTATTTCTATCACTAACTCGGGGCGGTGCATGTACAGGCAGTCCACAAATTACAACAGAATAGAACAGAACAGAGTAGAATAGAATAGAGAGAGGAGGGAGGGAGAGAAAAAGAGGGAGAATAGAACAGAAATAGAATACAAAAGAATACAAAGAAATAAAGAATAGAATAGAGAGGAGGGAGAGAAAGAATAGAATAGAAAAGAATAGAATAGAAAGAATAGAAAAGAATAGAATAGAATAGAATAGAATAGAATAGAATAGAATAGAA